CTCGTTGGCTCACTCCTCGCTCGCTTGCTGGCTCCCTCCTCGCTTGCTCGCTCTATCTCGCTCGCCCTCTCTCTGACTATCTCCCTCGGTCACTCTCTTTCCTTCTCGCTCACTCGCTCGCTCGCTTACTCTCCCTCCTCGCTTGCTCGACCGTTCGCTCGCTCCCTCCTCGCTCCCTCCTCGCTCCCTCCTCGCTCGAGACAGCTAGCTCACTCTCCCTCCTCGCTCGCCAGCTCGCTCTCTCCCTCCTCGCTCGTTTCCTTGCTCGGTCCCTCCTCGTGCTCGCTCGCTCCTTCCTTGCTCGCTTCCTCCTTGCTCGCTTCCTCCTTGCTCGCTTCCTCCTTGCTCGCTATCGCTCGCTTGCTCTCTCCTTGCTCGTTCGCTCGTTCCTCGCTCGCTTCCTCGTAGCTCGCTCGCTCCTCGCTCGCTTCCTCCTCGCTCTCACTCGTATGGTATGGTGTTACTCGCTCCCTCGTCGCTCGCTTCCTCGCTCCCTCATCGCTCGCTCCTTGCTCACTTGCTCTCTTTCCCGCTCGCTCTCACTCGCGCACTTACTCTCGCTCTCGATCGCTTCCTCGCTCGCTCGCTCCTTGCTCGCTTGCTGTCTTCGCCGCTTGCTGGACTCCCGCTTGCTGTCTTTCCCGCTTGCTGTCTTTCCCGCTTGCTGTCTTTCCTGCTTGCTGGACTCCCAACCCTTCCTCGCTCGCTTGCTCCTTGCTTGCTTGCTCGGTCGACCGTTGAATCGCTTACGAAAAAAAACACTTCGGTTTTTTTTCCCGCTCGCTCGGCCTCGAGGTCGTAGGGTCTCTCGGTCGGTCGGTCCACTTAGTCGGCCCGGCCATTGGTCGGTCCGTCCGCCCATTGCGTCCACCTGTCGGTCGGTCGGTCGGGCCTCACCACTCGTTGGGTCCACCCGTCGGTCGGTCGGCCCGGCCATTGGTCGGTCCATCCGCCCTGCCAAGTGGACTCCGGCCAGGATAACTCCGGGTTGAATTGTGAGATCCCCGGCCTCGTCCCAATGTTTTGCAATAAATGGTTAATACTTTCCAAAGAAAAAAAAAAAAAAAAAAAACGAAAAGAGAAGTGGTTGTCTAATGTACGAGCTGTAGGTAGTAACAACATCAGGCTTGTCTAAGCCTAGGAACCAGGACACTCTGTCCCTGATAGGGCCGCTGTGGGCTGGTAGGAGTGTGTCAGTTGGTAGGGACTTAGTGGGAACAGAATACTCGGCCCCTACTAGGGCCGCTGTGGGCCATTAGGAGAGTGTCAGTAGGACCAGGACGTCAGTCCTCTGGGCCGAGTTGGTCCCATATTAGTTCTGAGAAGGTCTTTCACTGAGTTATTCTACCATTGGATATGAGAAGTCTCACTGTAGTATTATAATCTGAGGTCGTGGGGCATGCATTGCAGTAGTAACAGTTATCAAGTTGCTTGAAGTTCAGGCTCAGACTCAGTTACTGGGTTGGTCGCTTTGAAAGGCATAGTTAGTTCATTTGTTATACTCTGCA